CTCCTAACGGACTCAGGGCGGCTTACAGCCAGTTAAAACAGATAACTAATACAATAATACTAATTTTAAAATATGATTAAAATGAAATATTCATTATTGGCCGTTTCTTTTTAAAATTATTTTAAAAACCAAATTAAAATACCCCTTAGGCCAGTCCGGCTAGCTGAAATAGCCATGTCTTGAGGGCGCGGCGGAAGGAAGATCAGCTCTACATCACTTTATAGGCAAATGTAAACTATTTTTTGAAATTTGGAAAAGTTATTAGAGCTTTTGCTAAACTAATGCCATGTTGTTGTTTTTTTAAAAAAAACAACTTAGCATTTACCGGTAGTAACTATATTTTTATAACATAATAAAGTAAAACCTTTCTCTCCCTTTCTCTGTGTCTCTCTCTCCTCTGTATGTTGTATGAACCCAGCATATCTGGCAGTTTATAATTTAGTGTATTAGGTGAAACCATAAAATGGGTTAATTTAGTAACCAGGTTTAGTATATGAAGTGTACACAATCCTTATCTTTTTAAGAATTTCTTATGTTCCCCTCATTTTCCAGTATATCTGCAAGGGAGTGGAAATTGTTTAAGATAATAAATAAATTGGTATTTCAAAGCTAACCACGCAGCCTAGATATCTAATTTGCATATAGATTACAATGTCCTTTAGACTTATAGCTAGTTTGTTTGTTAGTTCCACTGCAGTCATTTGCTTTGTTTTGATATCAGCATATGAATTAGTAAACTGTTTTCATAGAAATAACTTCAGAGACTCTTTTAATATGACTTGAAAAGAGAAAATTAGGGCCATCATTAAAATGCTGACTGTCGATGTAAATAGTTGTTTATAAATCATGTGCTGAAGTGGAAGTCCTACCTTTGTCATGGATTTTTTAAAAAGTAATTTAGCATTTTTTAAAAGTACTAAGAATCTTGAGGCAATACTCAGTGTTATCAAACTAAGTAAATTCAGCAGTCCTGATCTATCTTAGCGGAAGTTTTGTGTTTACTCTCTGTTTTCTGCTTATTGAAATTATCTAAAGTCAATTTGCTTTTCAGATATATGATGGGAAAGATAATACAGCACATTTGCTGGGTGCATTTACTGGAGCTTCTCTAAGAGGACTAACACTGAGCAGTACTTCAAATCATCTTTGGCTTGAATTTAATTCAGATGCTGAGGGTACAGATGAAGGGTTTCAGCTCGTATATACCAGTAAGTATTTCAGAAAATAAAATAAAGAATCAAGTAAGAAATTATCCTGACCTTTATTTTACTGTGATGGCTCAGTAGTTAGAATGCAGTATTGCGGACTGAGTCTGCTCACTGCCAGGAGTTTGATCCTGACCAGCTCAAGGTTGACTCAGACTTCCATACCTCCAAGGTCAGGAAAATGAAGACCCAGATTATTGGGATATATATGTTGACATTGTAAATCACTCAGAGAGTGTTGTAAGGCACTATGAAACAGTATATGAGTCTAAATGCTATTGCTATTGCTATATACATGATGAAAACAGTGCACTCCAAGGTAATCAGAAATAATATTGAATATATATTATTAGAAAGAGCTGCATAATATGTCATCCAAATGTATGCCCAAGCTAATATATATTGACTGTTAACAATAAATATATAATACATTGCTGTTTGTGAAGATCAACATTGGATGGTCAAATTGTCCAATGGATGATCAAAATGTTTGGCTTGAGATAAAGAAGTCTCCTAAACTTTTTTTGATCAATTTTATTAATTTCTCTTCCTTTCATCATCAACTCAAAATATTATAGTAGTAACAAAAAACACTAGGCCAGGAACTTAAATACTGCCCCATAGTGCTTTGCAGCACTCTCTAGGTAGTTTAGAATGTCAGCATTATTTGCATATTGCTCCCAACAATCTGAGTCCTCATTTTACCAATGTCAGAAGGATGTAAAGCTGAGTTAACTATGAGCCCGTCAAGATCGCACTCCAGTCTGCGGGCAGAGTTAGCCTGCAATATGGCATTATAACCACTGTGCTATCAAGGCTCAAAAGTTAATTAGCTACAAAGAAACAAATGATTGCATTAAACAGCCTACTTTTAAACTACAATCTATGCTTTGGGGAAAAAAATCTATCTTGGAAACACTGTTGATTTTCTTTCCTTCCTTTCATAGGTTTTGAACTTTCTCACTGTGAGGACCCAGGTGTTCCACAATTTGGATACAAAATCAGTGATCAAGGCCATTTTGCTGGCAGCACTATCATTTATGGATGTAATCCTGGTTACACTCTCCATGGGAGTAGTCTTCTAAAATGCATGACTGGAGAAAGGAGAACTTGGGATTATCCCCTGCCATCTTGTATCGGTAATCAGTTTCTTATTATCAGAAGTATACCTCTATCACTTTCAATCAATCAGAATAGAGCTGGAAGGGACCTTCAAGGTCTTCTAGTCCAGTCCCCCACTCAAGCAGGATACCCTATACCATTTCAGACAAGTGACTGTCCAGTCTCTTCTTAAAAACCTCCAGTGAAGAAGCACGCACAACTTCTGACGGCAAGCTGTTCCACTGGTTAATTGTTCTCACTGTTAGGAAGTTTCTCCTTAATTCCAGATTGCTTCTCTCCTTGATTAATTTCTATCCATTGTTTCTTGTTCTGCCTTCTGCTGCTATGGAAAATAAGTTGACCCCCTCTTCTTTGTGGCAGTATATGAATACTGGAATACTGCTGTCATGTCCTCCCTATCCTTCTTTTCTCTAAACTAGCTTTGCAAAGGAGTACTTTTATTTTTATTGTTCTTCATTTGATGAACTTTTTTTCTTTTCTCTCAAAACAATGTTGTGATGTAGATTATACAGAAGGACGATGATTGATCAAGTCCCAACTGACATTTATGAATAAGAAGGCATTTCAATCAGTTTTTTCCTGATTTTACTGATAAACTCCATCATAATCATGGAATAGCAATGCATACACATTAAACAAACACACAAACACAAAATCATGTTTAAAGTATGGAGGAGATCCTGAAAATTGTTGTCCTAGAACATTAACTAATTTTGTCTCTTCTTCATTCCTCTTTTATATTCAAACATTTATTTATTTATTTATTTTAAAAAAGTAAAAATAACAAAAAGAAAAACAAAGAGAAGAAGTTAGAAAGATAGGAAAGGGATAATTAAAAAACATAGTGAGTGCAAGCAACAAGAACAAACTATAAAACAAAGGAACTTCTGACTTTCTTTGAAACAGATAAAAACCTATAAATCAATGGCCATTTGAACTAGAGTAAACCATAACAAAAAGTACTTCTATCATCATAAACCAGATCTAATCATCAAAACCCAGTTAAAATCTCATTTTTCAGTTGAAATTAAATCATCCAAGATTTACATTGTTCTTCATTATTTTTTTCAACAGTTAAAGGCATTGAATGATTATATAAATAATAAGGGTTGGATTCCCTTTCTTTTCTCTTCACCTATTGATCCCAATCTATATCGGAACAGTATACACTCTGCATATTACAAGTAGTCCTCACTTAATTGGGACCAGCAACTCCATTGCTAAGCAAAGCAATTATTAAGTGCAACATTACAGCATTACCAATTTTATACTATCAGTTCTGACTGCAGTATTAAACAAACTCCCACAGGTCATTGAGTACTTAAGTTGTTAATTGGCAATTTCCTGTAAGCTTCCCCATTTGTTTTGCTTTTGGGAAGCCAACTGGAAGGCCATAAGTAGCAATCCTTTGACAGTGGGGCACTGGGGCCATCATAAATGTGTGCTGGTTGTTAAGCACCGGAATTGTGATCGTGTAAGCACAGGGATGCTGGGATAGCTACAAGGTAAAAGATCAATCATGAATCTCCTTTTTCAGTGCTCTTGTAACTTGGCATGCTTGCTGAATGAAGCAGTCAGTAAGTGAGGACAACCTGCTTCTCAACCCAGAGATGATGTTATAATAAGTTTGGAATTAAACTCCTCCTATTCTACATGTTTTAGCTGCTGCATAAACATCATAATCAATATTTATCAGAAATAATTACCATTTTCCACTTTGTTTTCACCAGCTGAATGTGGAGGTCGTTTTAAAGGAGAATCTTCAGGAAGAATCTTGTCCCCTGGCTATCCCTTTCCTTATGATAACAATCTGCGTTGCATGTGGATAATCGAAGTCGATCCAGGAAACATTGTCAGGTACTCCAGGACAATCTTAATTGATAGACTGAGGGGAAAAATCTTTTGAAATATAAAAACTAAAAAATCTGGCTAGAACACATTTATTAGTATAAATTTTGCCTGTTATTCAGAATTTAAGCTGTTATATTATTTGGGGAAACAGTAATATAAATATAAACATAGCTGGGATAGTGCTTGGCAGATGGGCCATAGTAGTTGCTTTATCTACTACATTATCTGCTGGGCTAAAATGACTTACAGCAGTTTTGAGTGACCAAATATTTGTCCCATATCTTTAGGGAGTAAGATAATTGTAGGTTTGGGGCTGAATTGATGGTTGATAAAGGGCTGATAGTTGTTGTTTGGAATCTCTAAGATGTAATGGATGGGTTCATTGCTTTACTTTGCCTTCCTTATGACTCCTAGTCTAGCAGTGCTAACAGATACAGAGGTCATTACACCTGTACAGAAGCCTCATCTGACATTTCCGTTCAGTGCCAGAAGAAACTTTGGTGCATGTATTGCATGTACACCAAATATTTTCTTATATTAGATCTACATAATAAGTCTTCAAATCAAGGCATAAAGACCCATGGAGGAGAATCTTTATCTCAGTAAAGAAAACAATGCTGTTCACACATTGCAAAGTACCTTGTGCACCTAAGACACAGGCCTCTTTATGTAGATCTTTTAATTATCAACCAAGTGTCTTTCTCCCCTGCATAATCTCATCTAAGATGTAACTCATAGCATAGATTGAGTTGCGATTATTTTACCTATTTCTTTATTTGAAATAGACATTAATATTTGATGTTTTTTTACAGCCTCCAGTTTCTAGCATTTGATACTGAAGCATCACATGATATTCTACGTGTTTGGGATGGTCCACCTGAAAATGACATGCTGTTAAAAGAAATTAGTGGCTCTCTTATTCCAGAAGGCATCCACAGCACTCTCAACATAGTGACAATACAATTTGACACAGACTTCTACATCAGCAAATCTGGATTTGCCATTCAATTTTCAAGTAAGTTGATATACACGTGTGGCTCTGCCTGGTTCAAAATCTAGATTTTCAAAATGTTGCAAAATTTCCTTCTAGATTGTAGATTAATTATTCAATGACTGTCTATCTGTCTGGCTGTCTGGTTTTCTTCCTCCCTTCCACCCTTGGTCTACACAGTCTTCCCAAAGGCCATAAAGATCAGGGCTGTTCAAACTCAGGACTAAAGTATGTCATAATTCAGACACTGTAAAAGAGAAAGCACAACTCCTCAGTCCCACAAGTTGGCACTTTTAACAGAAGGGATCTGGAGATATGCTCTTATAGGATATGGCAAGGTAGGCAGACATAAGGGATCCCAGACGTTACTTGGCTCTGCCATATACAGTGCTTTAAATGAGTTAACCAGCATCTTGAATTGCACCTGGAAGCATAACAGTGGTAAAATCCGGGTAAACTGTGGATTTTCCAGAATGGTGTGTGCACTGACACATTACTAGAGGATCTGCCCTAACTTGTAGTGAAGAGGTCTAGAACTAGAAGAGAGGTTTTCTCAGTGGTAGCCCCTATGTTATGGAAAACACTATCCCTAATGTATAATTGGCTCTTATCTATCTTTCTTAAGAAATCACTTAAAATTATCCTGCTTTGGTGGTCTTTAAGATCTAGGATGAGTGGGAATGTCCATTTATGATAAAAATGATGGGTGGCATTATTGTTGTCAATGCTCCAATGAATTTGGCTAAAGCCATTTCTACTTTGTTTTCGGTTGCCACAGTATGGGAGCGGGGATGTGTGCTTTTATAGTTAGACAAAACAATAAATTGTCCTGTGGGAACCAAGGGCATTGCTGCCTGGATTTTGTAGGGCTGAGCTTTCTGTTAGAAAGCCCGCCAAAGTAGTTAATTGGGGAATCTGATTTATGACATGATGCTGGAGTGGGAAGTTCAACTTTGCAACATTGTAATCTTTCAGAGGGAACTTCAGTGTTGGTTTCACTTTTGATTGTGCTGATACTTTGTAGCCAATAAATATGTTCTTTAAGGAAACTTTCTGCCTTGGAGTTCTGTTTTTACTGGTCTCATCTATTGGAACCATGACAATTGCATTGTTTTACTTTGAGATATTTTGTTTTTGATTTACTCATATGCATAACCCAGAACTGGCCATCTTGGGGCAGTCTGTAAATGCTTTAAATTAAAATGAATTAAATAATGCAAGTTTTGTTAATTAGGTCTTGTCAAATTTCCCAAGCCATAAAAGCCGACATTGAACAGTTTACTGGCCTAATATTAAAATTAACACTTTCAAGATAAAGTTAGTTGATATATTAGTTGGTCTTTCATATGATCTAATTTATTCCAGATTCTCAGATTTCTTTTTGATGAACAAAACTGTATTTTATGAAATTTCAAAAAAGTGCTTTCTTCAACTAACTCAAATGCAGTATCATAATATCAAAGAACAAGTCTACTCTGCCACAATTTCTCTTTATCTTTCTTATTAATCAAGTCTCCTTTGTTAATTCTTTCTCTTTCATTAAACTTATTTAAAGTTAACATTTGATTCAGTGGAAGTACAAAATGCTCAGTATGTGGCCAGAGTGAAAATTGGTATGATTCAGTAGCTTTGATTGTTGACAATCAAACTTCTTTGAAGAGTCAGATTGCTGAATTTGTCTTCTCTATCTCATGAAAGACACAAAGAAATATATTTCTTGGGATACTTTGGAACAAACTGTGCAGCAGCTTTGTGTCAATCAGTCATGTCCCAGGTTTGTGCTGCCAATACAATAAAATAATTACAAGTCTTTTAAAGGAAGCAAAATTAGCAGAAAACCTAGGTTAAATATATATACTGGTACATGACTTAATGTAGAATCTCTATATAAAAGAAAACCAGACTGCTATCACAGTAAGAACTTCTTACCAATGTGGAGAATTGAAAAAACATTTGCTCTGATTATCAGGTTTTCATATGCTGTCCAATACACAACATCAAAATTATAGTCCATCTAAGTTTCAGCATATATCTACCTTTGATAATTAAATGTTGATATACCTCTCTCTTCATACTGTAACTTTTTTAGACTCAAATCATTAATTTGTGATGCTGACAGAATCTGTAGATGATGCAGTTGTTAGTTTATGATTTGGGTAATTGCAGGGCATGGTGAAAAACTCAAATTTGCGGTCATGCTGGTGTGATTGAAACTTGGTGATGCTCTAAAAATGGCACCATCTTCAGAACGTCAAGGCACCATCATGATCAGTAACTTAATGTTCTGATCACATCTTCTGAACATTCCTTCTGGGATTCAAATCACTCATTGGGAGAATATGATTTTTCCTGGCATATGGTGAACACCAGCAAAGCTAAAAAATATCAGCTTCAGTAGTTGAAGGAGATAGTTCCAAACATTTACCATTTTGTAATCTTTGGAATGGGATACAGGAAATGTGGAAATGATGGCAAAATAATGGCTCACATAAAGAATAAATTAGATTAAGGGCTTCATTCTTCTTAGAGCCTATATGTTTCCTTGTTTGTTTGTACTAATTTAATGGAAAATTAGAAAAGAATAGAACAAGACAGAATGCTAGTCTCATCATGACTGTAGATGCTCAGTTGGAATTAGCAGATCTGCATAAGAATAATATGATACATATTTAGCAAACTCTAAACTTTGGTTTTGTAAACTCAGATATTCCACTACTATAAACCGAAAAACAGTTCAATCAACAAGTGTGTTTGTGTGTGTCTGCCAAAAGGTTAGGGTGATGAATGTAACCATGAGATTGCTACTTTGTACTTGACCAGCAATGCACACAAAAAAAGGTGGAACTTTCAACTGTTACAGCTGTGACTTGATTTTTTTTTAAAATTATACCTTATGGATCTTCTGACTCAGTTTAAACTTTGCTTTTTTGCCTTCCATTTCTGCAGCCAATTTAATTTCTATATTGAATAAGGTTAAAAATGTTTAGTCAGAATTGTTCTGATAAAACTGATTAGCCCTGGTAAAATTGATGAAATGGATGAGATAAGAAGATGTTGCTCACAAGACTGCTGAGATTTTAAATCATGCTGGCTAGCAGATATTACATGTGAAGTGGGATGGAGAGTATAAAAAAAGTACAATAATTCACTGAATAGGGAATGGTGTTGAATCTATGGGTAGAACCTCTCAAGGGAAATGATTGAGGATTAGTCTTGGGGAAAATGTTTAATATTTCATTTTAATAACTGTGGCAGTGGATAAAGCAATGTATTCATGCAATTTCGTAATGGCATAAAGTTGGGAGTCATTGTTGAGAAAGATAGTGCTGGGAGATTAAGCAGATAGAACTTCTTAGAATACAGTAATTGAAAAGGGATAAAATTTTATCATACAAAGTACTTTAAATGGAACTCCCCCCCCCTCTGTCTGTAATTGTATTTTGGTGATGATAGAAGTACAGGAGACCTTGGGACTTATCCATCACAGAATGATGAATCATGAATGTGAAGTAGCTGCAAACAAAGTAAATATTATTCTATAGTATATTAAATGAATAATTCCAGAAAGTGTGAGAAAATTTCAGTGGTACTATGCAAAACATTATGTGTTTAGTTCTTGGTGGTAAACAGAAGAAGGAAAGGAAGGAAGGAGGAAGGAAGAAGAAAAAGAAAGAAAGAAAGAAAGAAAGAAAGAAAGAAAGAAAGAAAGATAGATAGATAGATAGATAGATAGATAGATAGATAGATAGATAGATAGATAGATAGATAGATAGATAGATAGATAGATAGATTTTGGTAAATAACAACTACTATTATATTATATTCCATTTTCCAAAAAGATATATGTGTAACTATATTAAAACTCCAAATTAGAGACTTCATTTTTCGGTTTTGCACCGTAGTGCACCGCCGTGAGATTGCGGAGCTGACCCCTCAGCTAGTTTCGCCCTGCCAGGGGACCCCAAATGGGTCAAAAGTCCCCCCGGAGAAGCGACGGAGTGCTCTGATGAACACGGAACGATGGCAGTCGATCTGTTCAATCTGGGGGAAGCCCTCTAACCCAACAGGAAAAAGGCTAACTGCACACCAGTGTCTAGCCCAAGCTACTTGCAGCCGAAGTCCAAGAGCACAGAGTAGAACAATGGTGAACAGCGTGCTTGGAATTAGTGAGAGTATCGATCTTCTCTCTTCTATTTTGTAACTGATTCCTTGGGAAAGATCCCCAAAGTAAGAAATCCTCTGAAAGTGAAGGGAGGGGACTATACCACCATTCCTCCATAGATGGAAGTGGCAAATTAATTTTTTAAGGGGAAAAGAAATATATTTAAATGAAATATATAATACTACAATCTGGATAAATCTAGAAACTAAGAAAATTGGATTGTTTGGATTCTGAGATTGGCTAGTTTGACTAGGCTAGTCATAGAGACTATGGCACTGATGAAAGACGATTTGGAGGGGGGAGATAATATGGATATTGTATACTTATTCAAAAATGACAGGAAATCACATCTAATATCTACTCCTGAAAGATCTAGCCTGGACTATCAGAGACCTCTGGAAGCAATATTGCAAGAAAAGACAAATACTTTTCAGGAGGAAATGTATGCAATGCTACGACAGATACAAATGACAATGGATTCAAACCCATGAGGAGATCAAAAACAAGTTTGATGACATAAATGAGCACATCTCCAATCTAAACTTACAATAAAAAAATCTCAGAAAATGACGATAAAGAATGAACAAACAAATCAAATAATAGAACACAAACTTAAAGAAAATGACTTAAACAGTGAAGCTACAAATGAAGAGAATTACAACTTAACACAAACAGGAAAAAATATACAAGCTTTTGCCATAATGATAAAAATGGAAAACATACTTTATTTGTCAGGACATCAAAACAAACCCGAGGACAAGAAAGAAGATTTAACAAAATGGACTATAGAACTGCCAGGAGAATCATTAGAGCTTTGGAGACAAAAAGCATATATCCTACGCAATTTGTCTTTCTCACTCCC